ATTTACTGCAAAAGCATATGTCTGGGAGGAGGAATGGGGTGTGAATTGGCAGGCAGGGCCATGGGTGACGGTTACCGGGAGTGGGTGAGTGATACATACTGCTCTGCCTTTGGAACTCTCTGGTATAAACAGTGATAGGCTAAAAAGACTTCACACTCTCACATTTGTTATCACTGGGAGACTCAAGTAAAAGGGTGAGAACACTGTTAAAGGAGTCCAAACTGTTTCTTTTAAAGAATTCCTAGAGGAGGCCAAGGAAGAAAACAGAATAGGACAAATTCACTTGCTAGTTTGTGCTTGCACCTGGGAGCCAGCAGCCACATGGAGTCACCAGCTGAACGAACACCAGTTGAGCTAACAGAGGGACTTTCGTCGCTAATAAACCTCCCAGGGGCTGGCGCTGTGGCACAGCGGGTAAAGCCGCCGTCTGTATTTGCTGGCATCTGGTTCGACTCCTGGCAGTTCCACTTCTGATCCAGCTCTCTGCTATGGCCTGGGAAAGCAGTGGAGGATGGCCCGAGTCCTTGGGCCCCTGCATCCACGTAGGAGATGCAGAAGAAGCTCCAGGCTCCTGGCTTCGGATCGGCCCAGCTCTGGTCGTTGATGCCATTTTGGGGAGTGAACCGACGGATGGAAGATCTCTCTCTCTCTCTGCCTCTCAAATAAATAAATCTTAGGGAAAAAAATCCCCAAATGACAATGGGGATCCATACAGTCAGTCTTCTACGCCCTTGGGTTCCACATTCTCCAATCAAAAATAGTTTAGGGGCCGGCGCTGTGGCATAGCAGTGAGGCCGCTGCCTGCAGTGTCAGCATCCCATATGGGTACCGGTTCGAGTCCTGGCTGCTCCACTTTCAATCCAGCTCTCTGCTGTGACCTGAAAAAGCAGTAGAAGATGGCAAAAGTCCTTGGGCCCCTGCACCTGTGTGGGAGACTTGGAGGAGGCTCCTGGCTCCTGGCTTCAGATTGGCACAGCTCCAGCCATTGCAGCCATCCGGGGAGAACCAGCGGATGGAAGACCTCTCTCTCTGCCTCTCCTCTCTCTGTGTAACTCTGACTTTCAAATAAATAAATAAATCTTAAAAAAATAGTTTAAAGAACAGAAAATTTGCATTTGTACTGAATGTGCAGACTTTTTTCTTGTCATCGTTCCTAAACCACACAGTCTAACCATGGGTCACTGAGCATGTCTGTTGCAGTAGTAATCCAGAGATGATTTATTTAAAGTATAGGGGAGGAAGCACAGCAGTGCTACACAAATGCTACACCATTCAAATAAGGAACCTGGGCATCTGCAGATTCTGACGTGCACCGAGGAGGATCCCAGACTGAAGAATGATCCTACTTCCTGTGTTTCTCTGTCCCATAGCTGGAGACCTGCAAATGGGGTCTGGCACAAAACAGACTCACAGGACCCGGCATGTGCTCTCCCCAGCCCCATCTACTTTGTACCTCACAGAATCTCAGTAGTACAGAGCTGGTCACTCAGCCTGCAGGGAGGTATGCAAGGCTGGCAAAGGCCACATTCTCTAACCCACGCCCGGGACTCCTTTCCTGAACCACTGGTCAGTACTGGGGTGGTGAATCCCATGTTCCTGCTGTAGGAAACCAGATGTTGGACCCTGAGAAAGCTTGCTGTAGATCATGGTCAGCTGACTCCCTGTAGGGTGGCTTATACACCCAAGGCCTCTCTCAACCTACACGATGCTTCTGAGGGGTCAATTCTCTTATTTCCCCATTTTACAGACCAGGCTTTCAAGGAGATAACGTATCCATGGCCAACTGAGCTATTCCTTCTCAAAAGCCATCTCGGGCTTCCCGTCTGCCCATGAAGGAGCATTCACACTTCTTGATCTTGGCCCCTTTATCTTTTCATCCTGATCCAGCTGCATGTGCAGCTCCTGGCCTCCAACCCTCTCCCTGATCTCATGGATCCCTTTCCTATCCCCCAGCTGAGTCCCTTTCTTACTTAACAGTGGGACTCACCCACATCATCCTACAGTCTATCTCTCTCCCTTCTCCACAGCCTTCAAATCCACAGCAAGAAAACTTCCCAGGGTGGGCACTGGGCTTAGTGGTTGAGATCCAGGTTGAAATGCTTGTGTCCTATATTGGAGTATCTGGGTTTGATTCCTGGCTCGGGCTCCTAACTCTAGCTTCCTGCTATTGCAGACCCTAGAAGGACTCAAGTGACTTGGGTCCCTTGCCATGTACACGGGAGACCTGGATTGTGTTCCTGCTTCCCATCTTTGGCTCTGGCCCAGCTCAGGTTTGTGTGGGCATCTGGAGAGTGAACCACCAGATGGGAGCTCCCTGGTTCTTTCTCTCTGCTTCTTAAATAATATATAAAAATGAAAAAAAAAAAAAAAAAAGTAAAAAGTGAAATCCCCACTAAGAGTTTTGTTTGTGCTTCTGGCTTAGCACTCACTTTCCTGTAACAGAGTTAATATTTGCGTCTTCCCACAGCACACATAAACCTAGTTCTTGGCCACCCTCCATGTTCTACCAGTAAATCATTTATCTTCACAACTCTGAGGCATGTATCGTCATTGTCCCCATTTTACACGAGCAAATTGCTCACTGTCACACAGCTAACAAGCAACAAGGCCAGAGCTCAGGTGCTTAACCACTATTGCCAGACAATTCTAGAAGGAATGCCAAAGGGGTACCTTTTTAATCTCCCAGCAACCTTCCCATAACTTTAGACAGGGTGCCATCTCTCAGGACACTGGCACAAACCTGTTCTTTCTGTGGTCCCAAGAGTCCACTGGGTCGTCAGTTATTAGAACCATGATGGAGCGGGTATTGTGACACCGCTTGGTACCCATATCCCATATCAGGGTGCTGGTTGGAGTTCTAGCTACTCTGATCTTCCTAGCCAGCTTCCTGCTATTGCACCTGGGCAGTGGCAGATGGCCCTAATACTTTGATTCCTGTCACCCATGTGGGAGACTTGGATGGAGTTCCAGCTTTGGGCTTCAACCTCACCCAACCCTGGCTGTTTGGGGGGCATTTGGGGAGTGAACCAGAGGATGGAAGATCTTTCTCTGTCTCTCCCTTCTCTGTCACTCTGCCTTTCAAATAAATAAATAAGTAAATCCTTAAAAAAAAATCATCATGTATGGGCCTCATCCTTGCGTGGCTTTCTTCCTCTACCACTTAAAAACTGAATTCTTAAGCAAATGCTGAATTGAGCACACCATGCAACAATTATGAGCTCCACAGTGGGCTAAGTCACAGTGCATTCAGTCATTTGAAAACTGCAGATACCACAGCTGTTAATTCTGGAGGCCTGGAGCACAGTGACACCCAGATAGCTCCTTTTGCCAGAGAGAGACAGGCAGAAGGAGTTGAAACATCCTCAGTAAAATAATAATAATAATAATAATAACAACAAAATAATAACAAAATTTTTTTAAAAAACTCCTGGGAAACTGGCTCTAGGATAACAGCGAAAGAGCAAAGCTTCTTAGTCCCCGCCCCTGCCCAGAGGCAACTGCTTTGGGGAATAAGATGGGCTGGTTTATTTCCTTAAGGCAGAGTTCCGAAAGCCCTGTTTGCCTGGAGCAGGAGAGAGAGATGCCCCAAAATGTCGGTTAATGGATGGGACATTTCTCCTCTGCCACTTTCTCTGCAGCGGAATCTGAGCAATGGGGAGCAAGCTGGCTGCAGTCACTCCCAAAACAACGTTGCAATTGTCCTTCCAGCCTGGTGATAAATATGCAAGTGGGACACCTCACTGAACTTCCCGAGGACTACAGCTATCAGCCCCAGGCAACTTGTTCCCTCCCACTTAACCCCACCTGGCCCAGAACTGCCTGGGGCCAGTTGGCTTTGAATCTCTGCAGCGCTCTGGTTGGTTAAGTGGATACCCACACAGACCCTCCAGCCAGTACCCTTCACAGAGGTCTCGCCTTTGGACTCTATCTCCCGCCCCCAACCTCAATTCATAACCAAATGCGCCCCAGCCCACCCGCCTGGGACAGAGAAGGCTTCTCCCAGGAAAGTAACGGGCATTGTCAATCCACCACACCACAACCGCCCACTTCTCCCTCCCTCCTCACTGCACTCAAGATCCCAACACCGAGCGGGAAAACCCTTAATTTATTGCTCTGGGCACAGGCAGCCCTGTGGACCAGCAGGTTAGGATCTGGGGTCACGCCACTTATAAAACACTATCACCACCCCCAGCTCCAGTGCAATGGGATTTCTGTAATCTTGGGAGGGAGCTGATACTTCTGGGCAGGTGATCACGCAGGTTCTACCCTGCAAAGCGCAGAGGAGCGTTCCCGATGTTTTCTACAATTCTGGAACACTCGAAGGTCCGAAGCACAACAGAGGAGACCAGGCACTCCGGTCCAGTGGGGGTAGGACCGCCACTGAAGTCAGCAACTGAATCCCTGCTTGGCCACCAATGTAATGCAAGCAGATGTGAGCGAAATCTAAAGTGCACAGCACCGACCGCAGTCTAACGGGCTCCCCAGAACTGGGGCTGGGATAAACTGCTGTTGTGAGACGCCCACTGTGTGCCCAGAAACTACCGCTGCTGTCTGCAGGACACAGCAGTCTATGAAACTCTCAGACTCACGGGGAGCAAGCATCTGCGTGCGTCCCAGAGGGTGGGATCCTTTCTTTCCGACCCCGGGGACCCCGACGGCCCCGTCATACATCAGGCTTGGAGCAACGGATAGTGCTGCCCAACGCAGCGGACTTAGCCCAGTCGTTTCTGCCAGTTCCAGCGGCCACCTTCGGTGTCAGGCGGGGCCGCCGGGGTGGCCTGAGCAGAGCGGGCGCGGGAGGAAACCCAGCTGGCGGCAGGACGCGTAAGGCGCCCTGGCTGCCGCCCAGGGGCAGGTGCAGGAACCGCGAGGCGGGCGCGCTCGGGGCGCGGGAGCCGGGGTGCGCGGGCGGGCGGGCGCGGCAGGGAGGGGCGCCGGCCCCAGCAGCCCGACGCCAGGGCGTGGTGCAGGTGGCGGCGGGGGCAGAGTCGACACCCTACCTTGATTTTCGACCTGGCAACCGGGAGCTGCTTCGCCGCCAGGTGTCCATCGGGGCCCTCGGCGTCGCCGGGCTCGGGGGCGCGAGGGGACGAGCTGCTCTCGGCGCCTCCGGGCTCCCCGGCGCTGCTACTCCCGCCGCCGCTACCGCTGCTGCTGCTGCCGCCGTCGCTACGGCAGTCCTCGGGGGGGTCACAGAGTAGGCGGCCCAGGCCCACTGCGGAGGGAGGGGCCGCGCCCCGACACACGCGGCGTCAGGCCCCGGCGCCCGCAGCAGTTTGACCTGCGGGCGGTGCCGCCGCCACCCGCCCCGCCCCGGACCTGGGCACCCAGCCAAGTGGGCAACGTCGCAGGGGTGGGTGGGCGTGCGAGCGAGCCCCCGGCGCCCCTCCCCCAACGGGCTCGGGGTGCTGGGGGGGCCGATCCCCCGCCCCAGCCGCGGCGCCTGCGAACTGGCAGGGCCGTGCGCCGCGGAGGACCCCGCGCGCCAAGTTCCCTCTTGGGCAGGGAAGGGAGCTCGGGCGGGCCAGCCCGCTCCCCTCCCAGTCCCCAGAGGGAGGAGGACCTCTGTGCACTCCCAGTAGGACTTGGGGTTAAGGGGAGCCCCGGCTGCCTTCCAAGCCCCTTCCTGGGCCACCTTGGCTCGCGCTGCAGCCAACGGTCCCGCCGCCGGGCAATTAGAGGCTCCAGCTAGGGGGAAGGGACCGCGGGGCGTCCCAAGCTTCCCAGCCTCCCTCCGCCCGAGAGACCCACGCGTCCCCACCCTCGGGAGGACGGAAAGGAGATGGGAGTGGAGCCCCAGCCACAAGCAGACCCTTCCCCCACCCACACCGGGAGCCCCGCGCCCAGGCCCGGCCCCCCGCGCGGCGCTCACCTGGGATGTAGGTGTCTGCTCTTTCCTCATCCGGGAGCTCATCCCAGCTGCGCACCGAGACCCCCGGGCTTCTCCTCTTCACCAAGAAGACTTTGGGCATGGTGGGGTCCCCCCTCCCGGCTGCTCCCCGCTAGGGACGGCGGCGGCGCGGTCCCCGGAGCCCACCTTCCCGCCTCGCCCGCCCTCTCCAGCCCCGCGGCGGCGCGGCCCAGGCCTCGCCCCCGCACGCCCAGCGACTCCCAGCCGCCCGGCTCGGCGACACCTATGCCTGAAATCGCGGGTGAGACCACGCCGGGGAAAAAGTTTCATAAGGTGGAATAGAAAAGGCACCAGGAAACTTGGGAGTGAGCATGCGCCCTGCAACATAACGGTGTCAACAAGCTCGCTACCTGTCCGACCGGTTCCGGCGGCCGGGGCTGCCTGTTCCAGCCCTTCCTTAGGCATGAATGTTTGCAAAAGAATTTAACGTCTGATTCTTCCCCCTCCCCTTTTAAAAAAAAGGAAGCACTTTTTTTTCCCATCAAGCCCCCGCCCCATTCGCCCATCATCACTCGCACCTCGGGGCGAACTCTTCGAAGTAGCCCCCCGGATCTGCTGCCCACGGCCCCCTCCCACGAGCTGCCGCCCCCCCCGAGTGGACGTGTCTCCCCCGAGCCAGCCGCAAAGTGGCTAGAGTCCCCTGGACCCTGTGGCCGGTCACCGGGGAGGTTGGAAGCGGGGAGGCGGCATGGAGCCTCCTCCGACTCACACTGGGGGCTCGAGCGCCCCATCCTCCACCGCCACACACAGGAATAATAAATTCTGGAACTCAGCATCTTTAGAACCTGTTATTTTACCGATCTTTGCTATAGAATCGGGAAAAACAAAGCCTACGGTCAAAGCAGCTTGCGCCCCCAGGCCACCCCCCCCAACCCCAAATTAACACACAATGGAGAGAAGCCAGCGGCGGGTTGTGCAAATGCGGCTTCAAAGCCGGGCTCCGACCCTCGCCCACTCCGCTCTCGCCTTATCCCCCAATTCTGAGGCTAGCGAACGCCTTTCCAGGAAACCGGCAAGGGAAAGATTGGCTACACCGTTTCACCGCCCCGCTGGAGAACTTTGTATTTACGTGTTTGTTTGCTTTCCCGATCTACCTTCATACCGGGATGGGGGGTTGGGGGGGGGGGTTGGGAGAGAAGGAAGGGGAGTTGGGAAAAGAAAGATGCTAAGTTTCCGAGGCCGGCCATGCCCACGTTGGGGAGCGCGCCGCCCCTCTCCACGCACGACGCCCGTGCGCCCAGCACGACTCGCACAGCCCTCCCGGGGGGCAGTCACTCGAGCGCCTACTGCGGGCGGCTGCGGGGGCGCCCGGCGTCCGCGGGTCACCCCAGCGGCAGCCTCACCTGTCGGTAACTTGACCCGCTTCGCGCCCAGCCCACATGGCCCCGGGAGTCCCCACAGCGGTTTTCCCGGGCCTCTTCCGCCCAGGAATGGCCCTTGGGGACACAGCGGCCTGGTAGCGGATTTGTGGGCTTGGCTGCCTGCTGTGGCCGCGCGGCCGAGGGGGCGCCGCTCTCCCAGGCTGCGGAGGGGACCGGCGCGCCATGTCTCCGAGGCTGCCCACAAGGAGTAACCCACCCTGTCCCGACCGAGTAAAACGGACCAGGAATGCACAAGACTTTGATCCCGGTGAGCCAGCGGAGAGGGAAGACATTTCTGTAGCGGCTCAAGAAACCGCGGCTGCTTTCTTATCTGTGCGGCTGATGGCGCAGCTCCTGGGAGCTCTGCGTTTGAATTTTTAACAGGCAGCAAGCAGTAGCTCGGTTGAGTGAAAGAGTAAAAATAAAGAAAAACTGTGAAATTACAGAATTATCCCCCGTCGCTAAAAAAAAAAAATCTTCAACGCTTCATTCAAGAGTCCTTATTTTACGAAAAGGAGAATCGATCCCATTGGTAAAGCTCCCCCCCCTTTTACTGTATTTCAAATCAATGAGTGTCTAGGCCACTTTGTCTATTTGTTACTGAAAAGATTACAGATGCTGGGGTTCCCAGCCAGAAACCTCAAAAACCAATGCACCCTTTAGAGGTTGGAGATTGACAAGTACACAACTACACCTTGCTGTGGGATTGTTGGGTGCACAAAGCTAGGACATTTGCTAGGTGTTTCTAGGGAGACAGCAGTTCTAGTGTGTTTTCTTTCTGTCTCTTTTTGTTTTCTCTTGATCAGACTTGATAGGGGTTAATTATTATTAACATACACAAAGAACCAGCTTTTGTCTTGGCCAAGCTTTCTAAGTACTGTGAGGGGGGTTGATAGAACATCTTGCAAAGCAAGCTAAGGAATGAACTCAGCGGCTGGGGTTATGGCACGGTGGGATAAGCAGCTGCCTGAAATGCCAGGAGCCCATAGGGCACAGGTGCCTGCCTCAGCTTCTCCACTTCCCATTGAGCTGCCTGCTAATGGCCTGGGGAAAAGCAGCAGAAAATGGCCCAAATGCATGGGCCCCTGCTACCCATGTGGGAGACCCAGATGAAGTTCCAGGCCTGGCCCAATCCCAGTCATTACAGCCATTTGGGGAGTGAACCAGTGGGTGGGAGATATTCTTTCTCTCTCTTTCTCTCTCCATCTCTTTCTGTAACTCTGCATTTCAAATAAATATTTTTAAAAAAATGAACCCAATTCTTCAAAATCTCAAGCTTGCAGCTGGAAGAGACAAGAGACATGATATGGTTTCCATCCCACCCAATGCTGGTGTGAGGGGCATGTATAGAATCCTGGGTGGGTGCAGATCCAGCCTGAATATGCCCAATGCTACAAAGCTCACTCTCTTAAGAAGTAACCTGTTCTTTATTTAGACAATAGAATTGTTGGAAGCTTTTCCTTCTGCTCTGTGGAAATCTGTGTCACTGAGCTTGCATCCTGTTCTGGGGGGATGCTGAGACCATCCCTGCTCACCTCCCCCAAGAGGTGTATTCAAAATCCTGAAAACAGCCAGCTGTGTTCTTTTCTCCCGTAATAGACAGGTTGCAAGCAGATAGGTACAAACCTGCTCTGTGACATCCTTAGGATTGAGTCTTGGCTGCTTTGCTTCTGCACCAGCTCCCTGCTAATGCACCTAGGAAAGTAGTGGAAGATGGCCCAAGTATTTGAGTTCCTGCCACCCACATGGGAGACTCGGATGGAGTTCCAGCCCCCTGGCTTTGACCTGACCCAGCCTTTGCTATTGTAGCCATCTGAAGAGAGAGCCAGTGGATGGAAGAACTTTTTCTCTCTCTCTATCACTCTACCTTAAAAAATAAGTCTTTCAAACAGCTTTTAAAATTTTAATTGAAGTAGACTACAGTATACTTCAGTGTACTGAAGGACAAATCAGTAGTACACAGCTTGGTATATTTTTACAAACTCAACAACAGGAGGCTGCCTGTCAGACTCCTTGCAGGTGTAATAAGACAAAAAAAAAGAAGAAATAAAGATAAAAGGATTATAAAGGGAAATAAAGCAAAACTAGTATTATTTGTAGTCAGTATGATTGTCTATGTAGAAAATATCAAAGAATCTACAAATTATTAGGATCAATAAGCCACCACCTACAATGCTGGCATCTCATATGAGCACCCATTTGAGCCCGGTTGCTCCACTTCTGATTTAGCTCATTGCTAACACAACTGGGAAGGCAGCAGAAGATGGCCCAAGTGTTTAGACCCTTGCAACCCACATGGGCGACCCTGATGGAGGCCCAGGCTCCTGGCTTGGCCCAGTCCTGGTCATTGCAACTATTTGGGATGTGAACCAGCAGATGGCAGATGGATCTTTGTCTCTCTCTCTCTCTCTCTCTCTTCCTCCCCCTGCCCCCGCCCCCATCCTGTAATTATGCCTTTCAAATAAATAAGTAATTTTTAAAAAGAATAAGACAAGTACACAAAGTTACTGTACAGAAAATCTGTGTGAGTGGGGATGTGTGTCAATTACATTTCATTTTGCCAACAACAGTCAGAAAAAGTCAAATAAACAAAATGACAACAGCAACAAAGAAAAAAGGATCTTGAAATATATCTTTAATTTATTAAAATTTTTTTCCTTTTGTTTGCTGGTTTTTCCCTATTTGAAGTTTTTGTTTGTTTGTTTTGTTTTTTTACATATGGGGCTGGTATTGTGGTACACTGGGTTAAGCCACCACTTGTGACATCAGCATCCCATATTGGAGTGCCAGTTCAAGTCTTGATTGTTCCACTTCCAATCTAGCTTCCTGCTAATACGCCTAGGAAAGCAGAGGAAGATGACCCAAGGACTTTGGCTCCTGCCACCCATGTGGGAGATGGAATTTCTGGCTCCTGGCTACAGCCTGGCCTAGAACTAACTGTTGCAGGCATTTGGGGAGTGAATCAGCAAATGGAAGATATTCTCTGTTTTTCTCTCTCTCTCTGTAACTCTTTCAAATAACTAATTAAATAATTTATTAATTATAAAAAGATTTATTTTACTGAAATAAATCTTTCTCTCCCACAGAGGGGGGAGAGAGAGAGAGATCTTCCATCTGCTGGTCCACTCCCCAAGTAGTTGCAATGGCCAAGGCTGAGCCAGACAAAAGTCAGGAGCCTGGAACTCCTTCTGGGTCTCCCACGTGGATGGCAGGGGTCCAGGTACTTGGGCCATCTTCTGCTGCTTTTACAGGTGCATTAGCAGGGAGCAGCTGGGGCCCCAGTCAGTCCTCTGACATGGGATGCTGACGTTATAGGCAATAGCTTAACGCGCTGTGCCATAAAGCCAGTCAGCCCCCATTAAAACATCTTTTTAAAAGATAAAAAACCGTGCAAGATTTTTGCGGATAAAATGCTTTATTGCAAAGCAGTAAAAAAGACATTAATGAAAGGAAAGATTTACCTTGCTAATGAATTGGAAGATGCATCCAAAAAAGGTCACCAAATCCACAAATTTATGTGCAGATTTAATGCAATTGTTAAAAACATTTGAGGAAAAGGTGTTTCTTGTGGGACCTGAAAGCATGTTGTAAAATTGATCTGAAGAGGGGTGGTGCTGTGGCATAATGGGTAAAGCTGCCACCTGCGGTGCTGGAATCCCAAATGGGTGCCAGTTCAAGTCCTGGCTGCTCTACTTCCATCCAGCTCCCTGCTAATGCATCTGGGAAAGATGGGTCCTTGGGCCCCTGCACCCACAAAGGAGACCCAGAAGAAACTCCTGGCTCCTGGCTTCGGACCGGCACATCTCTGGCCCTTGCAGCCATTTGGGGAGTAACAGCAGATGGAAGATTTCTTTCTCTCTGTAATTTAGACTTTCAAATAAATAAATAAATCTTTTTTCAAAATGATCTGCAGGAAGAGTCAGAGACTATGAGGAAGGGGTAGGTGTGGAGGGGAGATTTGCCAGAAACAAAAGGAAGTGAAGGGAGGGGGGCTTGGTGTCGAGAACCCCTCACGCAGGAGGCA